TATTTAATTGATATAAGAATTGTATTAGTTTAAACATGAGACAGTAAATACTAAGGGGAAAAGAGAGGAAATATTTAATGTGGTAGTTTGAGACTTGTACTAAAGATACTTGTATGTCATTGAATTATCGATTAACTCAGCTGCCACATTGCTTTTTAAATACTTAAATGTAAAATTAGAAAATCAATAAAACATTATATAAAAAAAGAATTAGTGATATTTTGATAACTATATAATTTTTAGGTATTTCAGCTGGAGTTTAATAAAGTTTTGTAATTTTCTGCAAAATATTAATTACAAATATATATTAAAATAAAACTCCACTATTGTACATAAAAAAAAATGGGCTGAACTTCAGACAGGCCAGCTTGCTATTCTGACTGAACCACCATACAATTACTTGTGATTAGATGAGCTTCTTACATAGGAAAGAATGATAATGTCTAGTCCAACGTCATACTTCCCAAAACTATGTACTGCTACTTAAACATGCAACAGCTGGTCTGTAAATACTTAACAGTAAAAAAGACATGTGGGCAAATTTAGTAGCCTACATATGTCAAGCCTGGTAAGAGTGCTCAAATGGTCCAGATTAATCTACTATATAGATTCTCTGAGATCTGTTTTGATTACAACAAATCATCTAACTAGTACCCCTGTTGTTTAAACCAACTGATTTTTTTAGAGCATTTTGTCTCTGGTTTATATATGAATTTATCAGAAATGTTTATAACATTAAAACTGACCACTTACTACAAGTTCTCAAAGTAGATAATAAAGGAATACAACCCCAGTTGATTATATATTTCCAAAATATTTTAATGTATAGAAAGAAATAATACAATAAAGTCACATAATACTTCCTATTAAACAACTAAAAAAAATCTCCCTTTTTACAATCCTGTAATCCCTTAATTTGGAGAAGAGTCGGGGTGACTGGATGGAATTGAGCATTTATTGGTCGGAAGCCCTTCCTGATGCCACATGGAGTTCTCAACAGATAGTTTTTCTTTGCACCCAAGAGAGAAACATCTGCTGCTACCTAGGATTGAACTCTCAACCTACCTAGTGGGAGAGGCTAGTGCACAGGTTGGCAACCTGGGGCTCCGGAGCCGCATGTGGCTCTTTGAGCCTCCCCCTGCATCTCTCTCTCCCCCCCCTCTCTCTCTCTGTGTCTCTGTGTGTGTGTAAATAAAAGAGAGTGGATTCACAGTGTTCTCTGACGAGCTGAAAAGCTTACTGGGTGGGGCTCCTGCCTTGGCTGCGTCTCTGCAGGAAGCAGGAAGGGCAGGAGAGAGCTAGCTAGCCCAGCTATGATGGCTCAGGAATTCTGGGAGTTGAAGTCCATGAGTCATAAAAGAGCCCCTGAGCTTGTTGGAGAACAGCTTGAAGTCAGTTTGCCAGGTGAGCAGAAGATCGGAGAGAGGGGGGGAAAGAGAGAGGGAGAGAAAGAGAGAAAGAAAGAAAAAGAGAGAAAGAGAGAGGAAAGAGAGAGAGGGAGAGGAAAGAGAGAGGGAGAGAAAGAGAGAAAGAAAGAAAAAGAGAGAAAGAGGAAAGAGAGAGAGGGAGAGGAAAGAGAGAGGGAGAGAAAGAGAGAAAGAGGATATATGCAGTGGCTCTTTGAGTGTTTTGGGTTGCCTACCCCTGGGCTAGTGTCTTCACCATTAGGCCACCACACCACTCACTTACTAATTAAACAACTAAAATATATGAATTCTACTTAGAAACAAAACAGATGATGCACAGAAACACAATATTTTACTTAATGGGTAATTTTTTTATAATTACTGATAACTGACAATAAATTAGTGAGAAAAACATGAAGTCAACAAATTTCAAATGCATAAAAAATAACATAATGAAAAGCAGATAGTTTGCTTATTAAAAACTATCCTAAACATTTTAGACACATAAAAATAAATCAAGAGAAAACTTTTTAAATAATTATTTTTAAATATCTATGTGCAAGAGTTTTGGAAGATATTACCAACTGAAAATTGGGAAAATATTTTGCAGAAGATGTAAATATTAGTATTTAATTAGAATTGTTGTCAATATGCTACCGGTAGTAGAACCAGCATATTGGTGTAGGCATCAGTCAGAAACTGGGAAACCATGAGTTCTAGTATCACCTTAGATATAAAGCCAGCTGGGTGACCTTTGGCCAATCAATTTCTCTTAGCTATAGAAAGGAGGCAATTGCAAACCACTTCTGAAAAACCTTGCCAAGAAAACTGCAGGGATTTGTCCAAAAATTGGACATGACTGAATGGAAGAAAATAAAAACCTTTCTATGACTGATTTTGTTTATTATTCAGACATTAAAAGAATACTGTACAGGTATTCCTTGACTTACAACCACAAATGAACCCACAATTTCCATTGTTAAGCAAGGCAGCTCAGTTGTTAAGTGAGTTGCGCTCCATTATATGATCTTTTCTGCTACAGTTGTTAAGCAAATAACTGAAGTTAAGTGAATCATGTAGTCACTAAGGAAATCTGGCTTTCCTCATTGACTTTGCTTATATTAGTCTCATAACTGAGTTTAGGTCACATAATTTGTGTTCTGAACTCAAAATTCTAAACAATCTCCACTACCTGTTTCACTTTGCTGTTTGAACATCAGTAGGGTGGATGTCTCCTGGGAGGGGGAAGAATCAAACATATTGAGCCATAATTTGTTTCCAATTTATTGGAAAAGCACACGCTAATTGGCTAGCTTCACATACTTCACTAAAACATAAGAAAAAGTTTATAAAGCATTCACTTCGCCTGAGTTTATCCAACATGTTAAATCAAAACCAATCAAACCAGATAATGGTTACAACACACTTTGTCAATATTCCTTAACTTATATAAGATCAAAGTCATGGTATAATAGTGGGCAGCATGTTGCATTAATGAACCTTAAAAAAAAACAAACTCCTACCAAGATCCAAATTCTTTCTTAGTTATAGGTCCACAGGATGGCCTTGAGCAAATTACTTGCTGAATTTATTTTTTATTTGCATTTTAGCACAAGAATATCCATAATTACACATTATCAGAATTATCATGTATACTGCATACTATTAGGTATGTTATGGGCTAGTTTATCCCAAAATATAACGGGAAAGATCCATTATTGTACATAATATATGTGACTGCCTTCCTCTTAAATTCACAATTCTGAGGTAGGTGGGTGACTGCTACAGCTACAGATCTAACTAGTGAATCTTTCTTTTTTAATTTACTTTTTAAAAATTTAATATTTTCATTTAACTTTCTTAACTTATACAATTGACAAAATAGTATTTAAACTTAAAGAAAAAAAGAAACCGATACAAAAATAGAGGAAAAATATTAGAAAAAGAGACCTCATACAAAGACTACAAACTAAGAAAGAAACGAAAAAGAGATGAAAAATAATCTGCCTTATAATTTATATTTTATCAATACTCTTTGGTTTACTAATAGGGTGAACTCATAAAGCGAGAAAAGATTTAAACCTGGGTTTCCCCAAATTAATACTATTTATTTATATACAGCCACATGGACTCATAATATTGCACAATAAAAAATAAAATTATAACAAAAATACAGAAATAGCTCCAGAAATAATCTTTAAAAATGTCCAACTCTTTTAGAATATATTAAAAACAAAAACAATGTAATAGGCATACGGATGACTGATCTTAACTGAATGCTAGTCTTAACATTTTTCCAAGTGTCAGATGTGGAAGATTTCTGGTGAAAGGTTGTTGCACTGCCAAGAAGTACAATGAAATTTGCTTTCCCCTGGATTGCAAGCGGGGAAATCCCTTGGATGGCTCAGCATACATCCTTGTTTCTTACGTGACTACACCTGAGTGTAGTTCTTTGTCATGCATAGTGCAGCATAAAAGGAACCAGTATTTAATTTGTATCTGGGTTCATGTTCCAAGAAAAAACTTAAAATGTAATTTATTTCGCAGGTTGTCTGTGAGACAAATGCACAATAGCTTCATAAAGCAATCCTGGGGAGCTTATTCTAAAGCAAATGAAAGATTTCTCTTTCTCCAACAGGCTGCCTACAGAGTAAGTTTCGTTAATATATATATATTTATGCGGGGAGGACTCTGAAATCTTTGGATAATGCTGAGCTACAACTTCCATCAGCATAGAAGTTCCCTCCAAGGCAAATATTTAATATAAAACTCCAAGGCAGAATCGGGGCGGGGAACCAAACGTGCAATCTGAAGAAATTAAATGAGAAACAGGAGAGGGGATCAGGAAGAGAAACCGCTCGATACATTCATACGGTCGGAGGCTCGGATGGAAAACCGTAAAGCAGCTTTTCGGGGCCAAGGAAAAACGGGGGACGCTTTCAAGCCAAAGCGGGGTCGTTTTTTCGGGGCGGGGACGACTTTTTTCAAGCGGGTTTGGCGCCCTTGACTCGGAGACTGAGCTCCGACGGGTCCCGGAGACGGTCTCTCACCTTCCATAGGTTCAAAACGAAGCGGCTGTGTCCCTTCCTGCCTTCTCCCTCCTCCTCCTCCTCTCGCTCGGGGCACCTCACGGCCTTTCGGCGGCTGGGAAGCTCAGCAACGCGACCTCGAGGACTCCTCCCCGCCAGGCCGGGCCTGCAAAACACCCGGCCGGTTGCCCCGCAGAGGGGCGGGAGCACAGGCATAACGTTACGGGAGGCCGGGGCAGCCCGGTCCCCGCCTCCTCTCCGCCGGTGAATATCTCGCCTTGGCCCTCGCTCCGGCTACACCTCCCCTCGCCCGCCCCGGGCCCGGTGCGGGAAGCGCGCGGCCTCCCTCGCGCCTGTCCCCGAGGTCTTGGGAGCGGCCCCGGAGAGGCCGCGGCGGCCTTTGGTGCCCAGGCGCCTCCCCCACGCGGCCATCAGCCGGGAGGGGCAGAGGCAGAGGCGGGCCGCGGAGGCGAGGGAGTCGCGTCAGCTGCGGTAGGTGGAGGTGCGGCTGGCAGGTCCTGGGCGCAGCGGGGTCTGGGATCCGCTCCTGTCTCGGCTGCCTTACCTGCCCCGGTTTCGCCATTCCGATTCATGCGAAAGGGGGAAGGGGGACCCGAGGAAAAGTCTGGGCTGTGGCGCCTCTGGGGCACTCTGCACTTGCTCAAGGACACTTTGGAAGGGCAAGGCCGGTGGCTGATTCCTGCTTGTCACACCTTCGCACAACACGGAAGGCGCGGATAAATGGCAGTCTTATACTGGCGTGTAGGAAGCAGGAAATCCGCCGCGGGGGTAGAACCAGTGCTCACCTGAACCCAAACCTGTAACTTGCCAAGACTCTTAAAAACTTTCGCCTCAATTAATTTGTCCTATTAGTTTGCCTAGACACACGAATACAAAGTTACAGAACCAGCCAGCTTCCCTTTTATTGCAACACTACTAGTATTTTTAGATGCGAAATGGGAAGTAACCACAAACACTGATTTTTGCAGAATTTTACACCATAACCATAAATCTAATTCTTGGTTTGAAAATACTATGATGATTGGCATATTAATGCCATTAGTAATCAGCATTTATTATGCAACTATATTTATATAAAGGTGGTTTGTACCCTCCTTCAGTGGACAGAACTCTGTCCCTGTGCAGTTTAAAAAACTTGGCTCAAGCAGATTGTATGGTCTTCATCAATTGGGTCTTGGGGAATTTTCCCATTAGGAAGCAACCCTTAAAATGCAATTTCTTTGTGTGAAGCGAACAGCCCTATCACCAATTCTGCCATAAATGCCACGCATACATCCCTTCTTTATGTTCCAACTTTTGATTTCATCTAGGCACCCCCACCTTTTGCAGATTGCTACTATCATGCCTGAACTATCAACCAGATTACTCATCAACTAGCATCCTTCTTTTCCCACCTCATCTCTCATGGTTTGCATCTTCGCAGTGGTAGTCCTTAATGATCTTGTGCAATCTAGGATGATTTGGGATGCAAAATGCCAGACAACCACTAGAGGGCAGTAAATATAAACATGCTCTTTGTAATGTTTATATTAATATTACAGCAGTGTTTTTCAAACTTGGAAACTTTTAAAATCCTTCAGCTCTCAGAATTTCCCAGCCAGCATGCTGCAAGTTGAAGGCCACACATCTTGAAATTGCGAAGTTTGAAAAAGACTGTTCTGCTGTGAATTCAGTATCCCATAATCCAGAGATCCTCAACCATAATCCCCTGCCATAATCCATCTCTAGCACATTCCATGTAGCATCTCATGCATTACATGTAGTTCCCATCTTCCTTCCCTTCCCAGGAAGCCAGTCTTTCTTTCAGTCTTAAGTGTCTGATCCCCAGCTTGCAAAACAGCTTACTCTCAACCTCTTCTCTGTTTCCTTGTACTTTCTTTCTCCCTTCCTAGCAATTCCCCTGTGCATTTTAATCTGCTGGTATGTTTCCTCCCCATCATCACCTCTTGCACTCTTCTTACCTGGTGATCTTTGTCTCCATTATCTTGCATCATTTGCTTCTTACTGGAGTTATCCAGTATCTGAATGAAAAAGGATTCAGGAAGGAGCCTGACAAAAATTAGGGAGAGGTGGGAATTAACAACTGTAGATATCTTTCCACCTCATGCACCTCCTTTTTTATAATTCTTTTCTTGCACTCCATGATTTGAAAAAGCCAGCGTGAGTCTCTTAACAAGCTGATTCCTATGAGTGTTGGAGCTGGTTCCCTCTTTCAAACATCCTTCATGTCTTAAATCCTACAGGCATCTGAAACACTCTCCTGTAAATCTTGCTTTGAGGCATCCTAGCTTTTTTGTTTTTTTACTTCCAGTTACTACTGTACTGTTAAATGGATAAGGTTTCCTTTTCCCAGGGGGGGGGGGGAAATCTGTGCTGAAGAAACTATTGTACTCTTTCAATGGCAAACTCTTATTGCTGAAGGGAGGTCGAAAAAAGAATTGTAGTTAAATCATGTGATCACACTTTGTTTGCAGAACAATGTTGACAAAAGTGAACACAGGTTGACTTGCTGGAAGACAAAACTCAAAGGCATTTGCCAGAAAGAGAGTAGATACTTGCTCTGTACCTTACTCTATAATTAATTTTTTCAACACCATTGTGAATAGCTACAATTAATAACAGAATTATCATTCTTTATGCTTCAGTATTTCCCTTTGATATAACTGCTCACAACTGCCACAGACAAACCAACTGTGTGTTCTATTTGTATCTCTTCGTTTACAACTCATGTGTCTGATGAAACAGACTGCAGTAAGGAATGCTTATAGCAGGGCTCTTCAAACTTGGCCCTTTTATGACTTGTGGACTTCAACTCCCAGAATTCCTCAGCCAGCATAAAAGGGCCAAGTTTGAAGAGCCCTGGCTTATAGCATAATAAATATCTTTGCTTTTGGGGAAGAGATGCAACAGCCACGCCCATCTGGCCCTTTGAGGGCAGCCATAATGCTGATGCGGTCTTCAATTAACTTGAGTTTGACATCCTTGCCATATACTATTTCAGACAAATGGCTGTCCAGTCTCTTCTTAAAAATTTCCAGTGTTGGAGCATTCACAACTTCTAGAGGCAGGTTGTTCCACTGATTAACTGTTCTAATTGTCAGGAAATTTCTCCTTAGTTCTAGGTTGCTTCTTTCCTTGGTTAGTTTCCATCCATTGCTTCTTGTCCTGCCTTCAGGTCATCATTTTTCTTTCTCTTTACTCTATGTTCATTGTTCTTTCACACATTCTTTTTTATGTTTATGTTTATTAGTGCACCTTTAGTAACTACAAAGTATTCAAATAAATGGTTTAAGTAGATTAATGTTCTTCTGTTTCTCTATAGATGAAAAGCACACAGAGCTGTAAGCTTTACAATTCTAACCTGTGCTTGAATTAAGGATGGGAAAAAGATGGTTCAGAATGTGGATTAAATCATCATAATAATACAATTTATAAGTTACCTTTATGAAAAATATTCAAGAGAGCAAATCATAGGAAATTTGAAGACACACAAGATGTGTATTAAAACAATAACACGCATAAAACAATATAAATCACTGAAATAAATATAAAAGACAAACAAATTACGTTGCTGGATTTCTGTTTTTCCCCACAGCCTTTATTAGGAGTAGTAAAGCAGTATATCACAAAAAAGGTGCTACTAGTCACTAGAACAACACTATGGGTATTGTAGTTTATATTTGGAAATCCTACCTATACTATTTTTGTATAGCACATGGCTAAAAAACTTATTTCAACCCTTAATTAGTAGCATTGCTGCTGATTCACCATATGGACAAAAAGAAGACCTTGGGATATGTTTGTAAGAAGCATATGGGAGTACATTATATTATAGATTAATGCATGATTTTAAAAAAAGTATTAAAAATAAGTCCCATTTGCATGACTTGTCAAGACACATTGCTGTAAATTAGTAAATCATGGTTTATATTAGGAATGGAAGTTTAGCTAATTCTAGTTTCTTAATCAAGTGCCTATCAAGGAGAAAAGCACACCCCCATCAACACTGGCAGGGGAAGCCACTGTACATAAAAAGTAGCAAACTCCATACTCATTAGTACTGATGTTGTTATCTAGTTGGGTAATGAAACATCTGCAAGCAAACAACCAAGTTCCCAGAGCACTAAAGACACCACAGTTCAATTCTGTGCTACATATAGTCTCTATTAAAATCTAATTTCTTAAAACAAGCCACCATTTAGGGTAATGGGGGAACACACTGGTGTCTCTTTAACACAATTGCAGCCGATGACTAGGTCAACAAGATGCTCTTTTTGAACAATTACCAAGCAAGAGCACAGACCAGGTTAACAAGAAACAAGTCTTCATTAATTTTAATGAGTTGCTGCCTTATTTTGTAATGAATCAAGATAAAATTAATAGATGCTAGAATTAAGATGGGCAATTATAAGTCCGTTACAAAGTTTGCTCTGGATATTGGCCAATATCTGTTGATCAGCAGCATGGTGGACCATTCATTCCTAAGAATGAGATTAAAAAAGGGGGTACACATTGTTTTGGATTTCATACTGATCCAATTAAATATTTAAGAATAACTTCTAAATTTTGCAACCAACAACTTACTAATCTTTAGGGTGTGAGATACACACAGTGGGACCTAGTCTCATGTTTAGCATGGGTATTAAGATGAAAATTACATACACTTGGATAATTTACGTTTTCTTCTATAGCTGCCTTTAAAAGATCTTACAGTAGAAAGCTTGTGTTTAAATGTATTTTAAACATTTTCCTATACCAAGCATTTTTACTCATTAAAACATTACCTTCTATCTTCTGGTAGTCCTTGACACACAACTATTCATTTAGTGACTATTTGAAGTTAAAACAGGACTAAAAAAAGTGATCTGTGGCCAGTTGCAGCATTCCCATGATCATGTGATGAAAAGTTCTGGCACTTGGCAACCGGCATTTATTTATGATGGTTTCAGTGTATTGGGGAGTCATGTGATCACCATTTATGACCTTCCCAGCCAGCTTCTGACAAGCAAAGTCAATGGGGGGGAAGCTGGATTCGCTTAACAACTGACTGATTCACTCACCAATCACGGCTAAAAAGGTTGTAAACTCAGGCATGGCTCACTTAACAATAAGGTGACCAACTTTTTTACAATGAAAAGGAGGACACAAATAAATTGAAGAAAAAAATATCTCCACCCCGGGTCACCCCAACGATGCCCTTGACGTGATGGCCCGTTGCCTGGAGGCCGTATGGGTCTGGATGGGAAGGAACAGACTCAGACTCAACCCTTCCAAGACCGAGTGGCTGTGGCTGCCGGCGCCCCGGCATAGTCAGTTGGTTCCATCGCTGTCTATAGGGGGCGAATTCTTGGCCCCCTCAGAGAGGGNTTTAAATAGGGATAATTTTTAACGATTTTAAAGTTTCAGGGGATTTTTAAGGACAATTTTAATTGATCGGCCTGTTTAAATATTTCTTTTTAATTCGGCTTTTAATTATTGTATTTGTATTGTAGTTTTTATGAGGCTGTTAGCCGCCCTGAGTCCCATGAGGAGAAGGGCGGGGTATAAATTAAATTATAAATA